TCAAGCCAGCCACGCCCCTTGCCCCGCAAAATTTTGACGATTTTTAAAAAATTCAGTATTGATTTATTTTCAGATTGGCCACCTGATCTCTGGACTTGACCATGAAAACTAATAAGAAAAAAATCCTGAGCTGTAGGAATGTGGTATTTCGTGATCTGTGATCACTTCTTTTCAAATTCCAGTCTATGGGAGCCAGGGCTTTTTGGAGCCAGCAGCTAGTGGACGTAGAGATATTGCAGGTTTTTGACACTTCCAGGTTGGCTTCATTTTTCAGGGCTGGTTGCTACGTCCATCTTTTATACAGTCTATGATCCAAACCCACCTAGCCCTGTCTGAAAAAGTAAGTGCCCCCCTTGTTATATCATGAATTAACTATGCCGAATCACATTTTTTGGAAAGCGGAGTTCAAGTTCACTGACCACACTGAAGCCTGATTACCTCCAAACCTGTTCAATCAAGAAATCACTTCAACAGAACCAGTCTGACAAAATGAAGTTGGCCAAAATGACTTCCATCAGCCTAGAAAGGGTTACAAAGCCATTTCTAAAGGTTTAGGACTCCAGTGAACCACGGTGAGAGCCATTATCCACAAATGGAGAAACATGGAACAGTGGTGAACCTTCCCAGGAGCGGCTGGCCAACCAGAATGACTCCCAGAGCACAGCGACGACTCATCCAGGAAGTCATAAAGGAACACAGGACAACATCTAAAGAACTACAGGCCTCTTTGCCTCAGTCAAGGTCAGTGTTCATGACTCAACAACAAGGAAGAGACTGCAGGGCAAACATGGCAATATTCCATGGACCAACGAGACCAAACTTGAGCTCTTTGGAAGGTATGTGTCTTGTTACATCTGGTGTAAAAGTAACACCGCATTTCAGAAACAGAACATCACAGCAACAGTCAGACATGTTGGTGGTGTGATGGTCTGGGGCTGCTTTGCTGCTTCAGGACCTGGACAACTTGCTGAGATTGATGGAACCATGAATTCTGCTCTCTACCAGGAAATCCTGGAAATTCGGCCATCAGTTTGTGACCTCAGGCTGAAGCGCACTTGGGTTCTGCAACAGGACAATGATCAAAAATAATCCTACTGAAATGCTGTGGCATGACCTGAAAAATGCTGGAAAACCCTCCAGTGTTGCTCAATTATAACAATTCTGCAAAGAAGAGTGGGTCAAAATATCTCCACAGAGATGGGGAAGGCTCATTGCCAGTTGTAGAAAACGCTTGATTTCAGTTGTTGCTGCTAAGGGTGGCCCAACCAGTTATTAGGTTTAGGGGGCGTAGTGGCAGTCTACCTACAAAAAATTCCACTTGAGGGATTTTGAAGACATTTTCAACTCGTGATGGTGCATAAAAACGAGGATGTGCGTTTAACATTTTATTTAATGTAACTTGCAAATCTTAAAAAACACCTACAAAAGGCTGGGTGCCAAACGGCCTAAAACTGAGCTTGTATACAAAAAGACAAAAAATATGATAACACCCATTCAGACACACAGGCACGGTTGAAAAACTGTTTGATTTCCCCTGGCTCAAATCCCTGACACTGTGCCCCTATAGCTCACCTGGTTGAGCTGGTGTCCCATGTATAGGAGGGGCTATAGTCCCCAATGTGTCTCCTTTATCTAGCCTCTGCCTAGCTGATTGTTTCCTATGCCCACAGGTGCAACCCTAGCAACCAAGTGTCACACCAAAGATATACACCCACACACATACATACAACATACCCATGCAGCATAAATCTAAATTGGCTACAACAGGCAATTATTTTTCCACACAGGGCCGAGTAGCTTTGAATAGTTCTTTTCCTTGAGGAAAATCATCATTTAAAAACTGCATTTTATGTTGACTTGGGTTGTCTTTGTCTGACATTTACATTTGTTTGATGGTGTTAAACAGTAAAGTGGAGAAAATGTGCAAAAAAAAAAACAGGAATTTGAGAAGGGGGCCAATACAGTGGCACAGCACTGTGCAACCAGTTATAAAGCATCCAATACTATTTGACATGTAGAAAAACAACAGAACATATCAGAATACATTTCTATAATATCAGTTTTATCATTTTGATTCATCTAGCTTGAATGATGATCATGTTTATGTTGGAATGTTTGCTATAATGTTTTATTTCTTTGACTTTTCAAGCATCATGTGCTTTCTTATCGTTAAAAATAACCCAAAAATCATTATTAATAAAAAAAACAAAACCATTCTCTTTAAGTTCCCATCAAAAAAGTCCAGAAGAAAATGGAACAAAACCTCATGAAGACTTTCTGCAGGCTGAACCGTCGGCTCATTTCACCTCCTCTTTGTACAATACTCAAACTCTATGAGATGAAACGGCAAACAATAAAAACAGATGTGCCTGTAGATCCTATATACGACTGATAAAACAGTTGTTTTAGGTTTTATAAACAGGAAGTTATTGGACTGCTTAAGGTCACTTGACAGTAAAATATAATGTTGCAGAAAGCTGCTGCACAAATGTTGTGTCAGTTTCACCTTATAAAATGCCACAGGTGGACTTTGTCTTGACTTCCTTCAGAAGTTCCTGTATCATGTCGCTCATTTCTCTTTCATGAATTTTCTGCAGGTTTTCTTTTTCCTCCTCACTTGTCGCCTTCTTCATTTGGTTCTCATGTGTTGTCAGCAAGTTATTGATTTTTTTCAGGTTCTCTCTCTTCTTGGACACACACTTCACTAAGTTATTGATATCTTCTTGATATTTTTTCTTCTTTTCTTTTTCTTTTTGGGCTGCGAGTGCCTTTAACAGGTCATACTTCTCATCTTTATCTTTCAGTTGTTCTTCATGCTGTTGCCTCTGAGCTGTGAACTCTTTGGTGTGTTTCTCTCTGAATTCGTTGAACTCTTCAGCTTTCTTCCTGGCTTCCTCCTCATACATCTTCTTCTGGTTTTCTAGTTTTTCATTGAACAGTTTCCGTTTATTTTCTTCTTGTTCTCTCCTGTTTTGTTCTTCTTCTCTTCGTTTCTTTTCATATTCTTCTTGTTCCTGCTTGTACTTTTCCTCCAGTTCCTCCATTAGTCTTTTCTCCTCCTGTCGCCTCTCTTCATCTTCTTGTTTTCGTTTCTCCCACCACTCTCTTCGTTCTTCCTCCCAGGCTTCTTGTTTCTTTGTCATCTCATCTCTGGTCTCTTCCAGCTTTCTGTCAACACTTTTCTTTTCCTCTTTTTCTAATTGAATTTGTTTGTCCAACATTTCAAGCTCCATTGTTTGCTTCTGTCGATACCTTTCTTCGTCAGTTTCTCTTTTCCTTTCTTCTTCCTTTCTATTTTTCTGTGCCTTCTTTCTCTGCTCACGCTCCTTGTTGATCTTTTCCTCCATTTCTTTGAGCCTCAGGTCTCTTTCCTGCTGAATTTCTTCTTTCTCTTTTTCCATTCTTCTTTGAATCTCATTCATTTCTTCTTCATGTTTTCTCTCCAGCTCCTCCATCTCTCTTCTCTTCTCTTCTTCCTTCTCCTTCAGGATTCTCTTCACTTCTTTCTGTATCGCTGCTTTAGCCTCTTGCAGCATCTCGTTGGTGAAGCATTTTCCTCCATTTTCCTTTACCATGGCGTCGATCTTTGTTATCAGCTCACTGACTTGTGTGTGATTGTCTTTATCTTCATTATTAAACACGTGGAATCTTCGTCCACAGTCATTAATTAGCTTCTTGAATGAATCATCACATTCTTCTTCAATGTAATCTTCAACAGACTGCCCTTCCTTCACCAGTTTATCTCCTCCAGTTAAAAGAATGATGGTGAACTTTTCAGAATTCTTTCCAAAACCTTTCTTGATTAAGCTGATTGTCTTCTTTTCCTCTGGTGTGAATCTGCCGATCTGTATCACCAGCAGGAAGACATGTGGTCCTGGAGACAGAAGACTGATGCATTTCACCATCTCTTCATTGACTTCATGATGAGGCAAACTGTCGTCAAACAGTCCAGGAGTGTCGACCACGACAACAGGACGTCCGTCCACTTCACCCACTTCTTTCTGACAACGTTTGGTGACTGATTTTTGACTTGACTTGGATTTAAACTCATCTCTTTCCAGAATGGTGTTTCCTGAAGAGCTCTTTCCACTGCCAGTCTTCCCAATCAGCACAATCCTGAGAATCTCTGAGCTCTGCTGCTTGTCATCACCTGCAACAGAAAACAGCAATGATGACAATGATTATATCAAATACAGACCTTTTCCAAAAAATTAGAATATCATGGAAAAGTTGTTTAATTTCCATAATTCCATTCAAAAAGTTAAACTTTCATAGATTATAGATTCAAGGCCCACAATTTAAACAATTTCAAGTATTTATTTGTTAATTTTTACACAATTTGGGCTTCCAGCTCATAAAACCCACGAAAACAGGAATTCAAAAAATTAGAATACTGTGAAGAAATCACCATTTATGTCTCAGTTTTTGCAGAAAAAAAATAGGATCACATCAAATCAACGAAAATATGGTACTTTCAAAATGATATGCCAAACTTCAATAGTTGGTTGGGAATCCCTTTGCCTTAATCACTGCCTCGATGCGCCGTGGCATTGAGGCAATCAGTCTGTGGCATTGCCTGATACTTATGGAAGCCCAGATTTCCTTGATGCTTGCTGTAAGCTCTTCTTTGTTTTTGGGTCTGGTGCCCCTCATTTTCCTCTTGATAATACCCCATAGGTTCTCAATGGGGTTTAGGTCCGGCGAGTTGGCTGGCCAGTCAAGCACTGTGATGGCATGGGCATCAAACCAGGTTTTGGTGCTTCTGGCAGTATGGGCAGG